GTGCACCCCCCAGGCCAAGGCCCGACAGGGCCAGAGGACCCAAGCCCCACCAGGCAGCCACCAGGCCGAGCCGGCACATGCCCAAGCACCCAGCCCCAGACATTGAGAGCCACCAGCGCACCGGCGGGCAGAGGTACACCCCACCAGAGGGCAGGCAGAGCCCATCAGGTGAACCAGACAAGGGGGCAGCCCAAGTCCCAACCTGACAAATACTCAATCATTCACAAACACAATCACAGAGGGGGGATGGGGAGAAAAACACCTCAGGGAGCAAACTGCTCCCGCAGGGAGTCAGCTCCCCCCACTGACCCCGTAAGAACGCCCCACTCCCCGAGACCCACCCAGGGAGTGAGATCCCAATGCCACCTCCTCTAGACCGACCGCCAGGCCGGGAGAGTCCAAGGCCACGGATAAAACAGAGCCCACAGGACCACCAGAGAAGGGGACCACCAATCCATCCACCCCAGAGCCATCCAGACCCCCAAGACCAGACCCCCAGTCCCACAGCCAGCCCGRYACCAACAGAGGCCACCGAACCCCAGCAAGGAAGGACCGGCGCGAGTGTCCACCCAGCTGTTGGCAGCGCAAGAGAGACACTGAGAGCGAGCTCCGCCACCACTAAGGGACCAACCAGCCGCCCCAGCACAGCCCCCGGCTGCCACCAAAGGCCATCCACACATCCTCCACCCCAGAAGAAATACTACACCCACCCCAACATTCGTACAACTCTCAGAACATATAGCACACTAGACACCCAGGCTGGGTCAACCCACCTCCTCCATGGGTCACCAGCCCCGCACCCAGCCACCACCACCCCCCGGCCCACCAGTGCACCGAAGMCCCCCAGCCCAGAGCCGTGCACCCGGGCACAAATCGGCCCACAGCCRGGCAACTGCCCGCCAGGGCCCAAGCCCCCCAGGCCCCACCAAGACTGTAGCCCAGGGGTGGTATTACCCCAGGACCCTAAGCCCCCCATGCCCCACCCGAACCCACCCCAGCACGGCTAGACCACCGGATCGGCGACCCATGATCACCGCTGCAGACCAGCTGAGGATCCACACGTAGCCTCCAGAAGGTCCCCCCCACCCAATCCACCAGAGTTTAACAATGTTGTATAGAAAGAAATGGGAGTGTGTGCTCTTTATATACAGGATGTAATTTAATGCATTTCAGATGCTTTAGCTACTTATGGCCATAGCATCTCATACTGCAGGAAGAGAGCAACTTCCATCAGAGTGAGCTTGTTGCCTGAACAACTGCAAGGAAGATACCTGTGTCTAATATTAATGCCATCTGTKATGTTTTGTTCTGACTGTARTGAATGYGACTCCTGTTTTGAAATATCCAGTTGCTGAAACTGGAAGTACAACAACTGGTGAAGGAAATTGAGTGAACTCCCATAGACTGGTGTGTGCATGTGGATTTATTAACAAACCGGCAGACACATGATCTACTTTAAATGAGCTCAYTATTTCCCAGTGTCTCATACTTGACAGGAAGTAAAAGCATTTAAAATCTGATAGTGCAGTTATTGTTCACTTTTCCTGTAGTGTAGATCAGCTGTGACTCTCCTTAACTTTTCTCATAATTACGAGATCAGGATATCATAATTATTACCTATTTTCTCGTAATTATGATATCAGGTATCTAAGGTTTTTTATTTGGTAAATGCAATGGGTCTCATGCAAGAACCGGTAGTACGCTCAGATTTGTTCTTAAGTTGTGCGTACGAGTGATTTAGGAGAATTTGTGGCATTCACCAATGT